CTCCGAGTCTTGTGGCCGCTCAGGTCGCCCTCTTGTGGCCACGGCTGGACACTTTCGGGCAACTTCTCGGAAGGCCAGGGGATGCCCGAGCCTGCTGAGGAGACTTGCCCCTTCTCTTGGGAAAGGAGGGGATAACGAAATCTGCTGCATGCAGCTGGAGTCGGCCCCACCGCCAGGCCCGTTCCTCGATACATGGGCGCCTCCCGGCGCCGGGAGGCGCTGGGGAAATCAGCTACGCGAGCTGATTCTCAAACCTCCCTTTTGCTGTCCCCCCCTTTCGTCCAGCCCGACAGTCCCGTTTCTCTTTTTCGCCCAGACGTTAACACGCTGCAGTGCCTGGGTCTCAGGTGTCGTACAGCTCGCGCGCGCCACCCTCTTTCACCCCATACTAGGGCGACGGGATCTGTACACGTCCTGGAAAACGAAAACAAAACGAAAACGAAGCACACCGTCTGGGCTCAGCCCTGTACACGCCCTCCTGGCTTTCCAAGGGTCGGGAGGGCTGAGACCAGGATACATCCGTTCCAGAGCGATCCGGGACGTTCTGAGAGCGTTTCTGCATGCTCTGAGCCACGACGCCCGAGACGTCTTTCAGAGCCGCCGCATCTCAGAGGTTCTTCATTTATCCTTGACCGAATGCACCCTTGTCTCGGCTTCGTCTTGCAGGGGTGCACATCCTCGGGTCCCGAGCCCAGCATGGGCCAGGCGGAACTGGTCGAGCGGCAGCACGAGACGTGGTAGCAGGAAGAATTGCAAGCGCTCGTCGCACTTTCTGGCCTGCGGTGTGCCTACAGTGTTCCCCCAATTCGGTTTTGCCCAAGGGTTTTTCTTTGCGTTTGCAGACACAATGGGATTCTAGGCCAGCGCCGGCCGTCGTTCCTCCTGAGGTCCTTGATCTTGGTTTCTTGGTGCCTCGAGTGTGATGAAACGTGCGAAAGGGTTTCAAATCGGGTGCGGGTACGCCATGCGGACGCTGCTGCTGGGGCCTTCGTGGAGCTCCAGCTACTGACCGTGCGAAGGGGTTCCGAATCGGGCGCGGGTACGCCATGCGGGCGCTTGCTCAGGGCCTTCGGTGGAGCTCCATGTGGGGCCGTCAAACGTGTTAGGGGTGTGCCGGATCGGGTGCGGGTACGTCATGCGGACGCTGCCGCTGGGGCCTTCGGTTGATTTCCAGATGGGTCCACCAAATTTGTGAGGGGTGTACCGAATCAGGTGTGGGTTCGCCATGCGGGCGCTGCCGCAGGGGCCTTTGGTGGAGCTCC